TGTTGTTTCCCTGACATTAACATTTTGCAATTCGCATAGTTTCCTACCACAACATTTTGTAAAGGGGATGAGTAGATAAAGGGAGCATGGTGGCAAATGAATTTCTGTATGACCAGACAGTTTGGATGTACCTTCTGGGTAGGTCTGCCTCAATGTTATCATGTTAGATAATAACTTAAACCCCAAATCACTCACAAGATCTGTTCTAAACTGTGAAATTATCTGGTGCAAGGCAGTCCAGTATATGAATAGTTTGTCCAGAGAGGCCGTGGAGTCTCTGTCCTTGGAAGTTTTTGAGACCTGACCAGGCAAAACCCTGAGTAACCTGGTCTGAAAACAATACTGGCTGTGATTTGAGCAGGAGGTTGGACTAGAGTCCTCCTAAGGTCCCTTTCAACCTAAATTGTTGAGAGAGACCTGTAAGTCTGTGTATTATTTTCTTGCAGTTGTGACATTTATTTAAAACTTGAAGCTGCCAATGATACAAAACATCAGATGTTCTTGAACATTTGGCAGCTTCGACTCAGTGGTTTTTGTGACTCTGAATTTCTGGAAACTTGCACTGCTTAACAAAATACACAGGAGTCCTCAAATTAGAGCCATTGGGTAACTCCACTGCTGAAGCAGTAGCTGCCATAAACCCAGCAGGCAGTCTTTTTGTCCACTGTAATGTAAAGGTGAAGCTCTTGTGATTCCACATAGTAGATTATTGACCTACATTGAATGATTCAGAATCTGAACAGAAAGTAAAAATCCAAAACATACCTCAATATTTCTCATTTTTGACCACATTCTAGCTTGGGAAAAGTTGTTCTATTATTTTTTTGAGAGTGATGTTGACAATACTACCATCCTTCCTTGACGTGCTTTCAGAAATGAGAGGAAATTTGGCATATGCTTCTGACCTTGACAGAGGCTGACGTGCGCCCATTCCTGGGGTAGCAGTGCAGAGTGCCCAATCTGCCGTGTCAGATCATCTCTGCTGGTGTTCCCTGCAGCTTTTAGTCCTTCTGAAACAATCTTCAAATATCTTTTATCAGGTGGCATAATACAAATTGACTGTGGTGTAGATGCACCAGCTCACAAACCTAAATCACAAACCTATTTACCTATGACTGTGCTTCAAATTATGTTTTCTAATTATTCAAATTGATGTTTTCTTTTTGTGCAAATAGAATATCTTAGTCTCTTCTATCAGGTGAAGAGGAGAATATGATCGGAATAGAATTTGCTCGTGGGTGGAGAATTATGTCTTTCATACGTATGCTGGTTTTTGATGAAGAAATAAATGCTGGCATTTCACTTGCCATTATGAGTACTGGTCAAAACATTGACTGTTACTGTTTTGTATTATATTCTTGAGAACATACATTTCTTGGCTCCTTAAAATTAGTTTGTTTTTTTTCCCTTGTGTGGCCTCACGGAGAAAACCCTTCTTCCAAACAAGTGTAAGTACAATAATGCAAAATCAACTTGAGAGAAAAGGCGGTGATGCATACAAATATATTGCACGTAGAACACCTGTCCCAAATTCTGATTACAGCCTTACAGTCATGAATAAACAAACTCCTGCAATTACTCTTGACTAATGTTACCCTGACAACAGTATATATAACAAAATTCAGTAATCACTGCCAACAAAAGCCCTGGTACAGCTAATGCTGCTGTTTGCTAGGATGAAATACTTCCACTAAGTATTAAATCAACTCCAAATCATAAGTCCTGTTTTTTAATATTAGGATCAGTAAAGTGTAATTATTCATTCCAGTATATGGAGAAAAAATTGCTTTGAGTTCCCTATTTATAAAATAGTGATATGTGAAAGGAGAAGCTGGTGCTTTTTACCAGTTCCATAGTGGTGGGTATATCACTTGACATCATCCTGGCAAGCCCAGCCAGCACAGCTCACTGATACTTTTTGGTGCAAGTTTCTGCTCCCTCGATTTTGCCAGTTCTGTGTGTGCTACTCATCTGGATATTAAAGGGTTGAGGGACAGCAACCTCCTGGGGGGGGGAAAAAAGCCAATTGGAAATATTTTTTGATTTAACTTACCAAAAGATAAAAATTGTGCAATCCAGTACTTAAAAGCAGCAGGTCACATCCTGGTGTAATCAGGGTTCTACTTCAAAATGCCAATAAAGTACGTTTCAGTTTAAATGAATTACTTGTGTGTTCCCTCCTCTGAGCTCTGATCTGCGCAACCTGTGTTGTAGTCTCTGTGATTATGAGATCCTGAGGATGTTAGGTTTTATTTTCAAATTTTATTTGCTTTTAAGGAATCGTAGATGCTTTGACAAAGACTTGAATTTTTCCATTTCAGGGGAAGTCCTGAAAATTTTTTTCTGTACATTCAAAGACTCATGTTTGGTGCTTAGCTGTCCAAGAGAGAGACTGCTGAAGTTGCAGTGTTTCTGAACTTCAACACCTGCTAAATACTAAAAGCCAACATCAATTTAGTGCACAAATAGCTTGTAGAAATAGTACCTTCCTTTTAGGAGGGAATACTTTTTTCATTTACATGTATTAAATTAATTTTAATGTATAGTACTTCACATGACCAATTGAGATGGAAGAAGCCAGACCAACCTAGGACTTTTGCAGTTTTTGAATTGAAATGATGGTAAAGGGAGTGAGGTCTGCTAATCCTGCCTTCTTGAAGGATACAATTCCTAGAAAGATAGCATTAATGCCCTTCTCTGCAGACGCTATTTCTTCTGTTTACTCAAATTTAAGTACGTGCTCTGCTTGGTACATAATATTTATTATTTTTTAAATTATAAAACTATTGCATTAAGTTGTATTGAAGTGAGTGAATTCATTTCTAAACCGAATCATGGTTTTAGAGAGTTGAAGTTTGATGCACTTCAAAGCAGGGAAAACTGTAGACAAAATAATAAAATATTTTGTCACCAGTTGACAAATAAGAAAAATGTAAGAAATAAGGGAGTTTTATTTTAAGTGTACAAGACAGTGTTAACTTGCGTAGGTTTGTGTCTTCCTGCTTTGAAAGTTGCTTGTGATCAATTTACTGCAGCAGGATTTTTTATAAATACTTAAACCAATTATTTTGGTATTCTGTTTACTGACTAGAATTATTGCTAAAATTGGTTCTTTAAAAAAAATAATTATTCTTGGGTTAGTATCCCTCAGAAGTAAAACTACTGGCTTTCATTTCCCTTCCCCTTGAATTCTAATAACAGAACCTGGTGTTCTGCAAAATTAGTCTAATGACCTACATTCTGTAGTAGCGATTCATAACTTGATAATGTTATGAACTTTCACATTTATTTCTTATCTGTAGTTGCATTTCCTCAATCTGTCCTGATTTGATGGGAAGGGAAGGAGGCAAGAGAACCTTGTAAAATAATTGATACATATCACAGCCATCGGCAGTGGTATTTACTTGTGTAGGTGTCTGAGTGGACTGGTGTAGGTGTAACTGGTTTGAGTTGGTGGTGTTGGGTAAGTTTGTTAGAAACGATTTGGGGTTTTGGGATGATAGTCTCAATGGCCCTGTGGTGGGGGAGACCGTGGTAGGCATTTCTGCTCAGCCAAAATAGGGAATCTAGCAGAAAAATCCAGTAGAGTCTTGTTCTTAAATTTTGTAGTTTGGATGGATGAGAAGCATCCAGTGAAAGCGGTATCACTTGTGGAGGAAACCTTTCCACTAACACCTCTCCTAAGTACAAAGTAGCAGCATGGCTATTCTTCAGTACAGCTATTTCTTCACTTTATTAGGTGTTTTATGATTTTTTGATGAGAGTTTTTCAGGCTTTCTTGGTTAGACTTCATGCTGAAGGTTGTAATCTGCAGCTCAGACTTCTGTATCTTCTGTGCGGTTGTAAGGTTTGGTTGGTTTGTGTTAGCATCTGAAATATATCGTCAAGGCAGCAATCCCTCTTGTAGGAATTCTGTTGGCTTGTAACTCATTAGCTTAATAGCAAAGTAAGGTGAGGTAAAATGGGAGTCTGGGCTGAATTACAAGTAGTAATTCTGTGATGTTTTAATCAGTTGCAAATGAAAAAAAATACACCTGTTTAAAAACTTCAGTCTTTTAGACTAATGTTTGTGATAACATAGAGAAGAGCAATTTTTTAATTTTTTTTCTCTTATAAGTATAGACATCTTTGTAGACACCATACTTGCTCTTGTGCAGCTTGCACCACTGTTTTTCCCTATTGATTTGGTCTTCGTAATCAGAGGAGAGAATTGTAACAAATGTAGTATCTAAACTAAGTAAAATATTCTGAGTGGGAACTAGAGAGGAGAAAATTGATGAGATGTGCTGGTGCAGTAGAATTTATCAACCAGATATTTTGAGAAATGTCTTGAGTCTAGCGAGACCACCAGAACAAAGTAAGTGTAGGGTAGTTAATTGCTGGACACATTTAGGCTGGAGTCCTTCAATACTTGGTCTAATTGAGATCTGGCGAATGTTGCTTAATATAAAAGATAATTCAAAGTAAAAATCTTAAATTGGCCACAGATCTTGTAGAAAATGGTTTCATTGCTATTGCATAGAGATAGCTATCTCTTGAGAGTGGGTTGTTAAAGCTTTAGCTGGTACTAGCTGAAATAATAAAAAGTAAAGCTGAACTCTGCTTAAGAGAATTATTCTAGCGGGTGAAGTATAGGACAGATTTTCTCTAGGGTTTACCAATAAGGAATCAGCTCTCTCCCTTTCATATGGTCCTTTACTGATTCACAAAACCCTAAAGAGAGGGAGGCGGGGAAATTCCTTCTGAAAGACTACTTTACTCTTTACTTGCTGGCAGCAGGGCAGAACCAACTGTAGGATTGAACTTTTTGAAAAAATTTAGGTGTTAATTAGCATAATTAATATTTTTCCTTCATAGTTCTAATAGTAGTTGAAAAATTACTGTTGCACTGGGTATGCAATGAGTACTTTTGACCTCTGGTTTATGGATTGTTTTGGCTTACAATATTTCTCTTGATAATTGAATTTTCTTTTTCTTTTTTTCCCCTTAAACAGCAAGACCATTTACAAAATTGGTAAAGGAAATGCAACTCCATCGCGATGACTTTGAAATTATAAAAGTAATTGGAAGAGGTGCATTTGGTGAGGTAAGAGATTTTTACTCTGAGTTGTAATAATGTAGCTTTCATCGTTCATACATCTGACTTCTTGCTACAGTTTACCTGCATTTGTCCTAAAGACAAAAGATTCACACAGATGTGTTAAAATACTTGCAAATGTGCCATGGAGCTAGGTACTAGTGAAAGGTCCCTTTGAAGCAGGGTATTTAGTGTCCAGTTCTGCTGTTTCTGTGACGGGCTCATTCTGACTTCTGTGTAGCAAAACAAGTGTCTCTCCACTATGTGTATGAAGCGGGTGGTCCTACCTAGCAGCTGCACAGCTGAATTTGGGATCTCTTCTCCCACTTGCCATATGTACTCTTCTGTGCTGCTATAATTTAACACAGAACCGGGCTGCTCCTATGGTAGGAACGTGGAGGCTGCTCCACCCATCTGCCTGTCTCTGTAGCAATCTGGTAATGCAGAAAGACGCATTTGGCTGCCTCAAAGGCTGTTCCCTGTCATCTTTGAAGATCAAAGGCTGCTGGATCTGTTTTTTGGACAGCAAGTTGAATCATGCTGGGATGATAGGAACGCCTTGTGTTTTGAGGACTCGTCAGTCCCAGGACCCTGGACTGAAGCTTTACTTCTTAATATGCATGATGAAAGTCTCATCAGTCACAGAAGTCTGATAGGGCTTGCCACTGGCAAAAGCATTCACGAGCATGTCCCCTCCAGTAGGCATAGGATACCTGAGACTTTGGAGAACCTCAAAGATAACCCTTTCAGCATTTACCTACCTGTAACTAAAGTGATAGCTGTCAGCAAAAGAGGTTATTAACTAGAGAATTTCTGCAAGTGAAAAACCCCTTAGATTTCTTTCAGGAAGCTTCTTTTAAGTAGTACCATACTAAAGTCAAATATAGTGACAGCCATTAGCTGCTCATTTCAGACCATTAGCACTTGAGTGCAACTTCTGCCCATAGCTAAGGCTGGGCTTCCTTATCTTAATCTCTGGTTATCTCTGCAGAGAGTAGGAGTGAGTACTGTGCAGGGCTTTCCTTCCAAGCGTAGTGTGTCCTGGACATGTCAAACTCTTCCATGTAGGGTTTGTGGGACAGAGGTATCACAGGCAGACCAGAAACTAAGCTAGAAAAATCCCAGGACCATACTTGACCTAGGCTCAGAAAGCAATGAGGTTTCTGTGTGCATATGCACTTGGTAGTGGGTGAAGTAATGGCATCATATCCACATCATTTTAAGCTATTTCAGAGACAGAACTTAGTGTTTCAGGAACATCTCTTAATCTGTACCATCATCTAATGATGTGATCTTGACCTGTAAGACCAACAAGTTCACCTTCTAGTGAACTTGATGATTTGCAACATTTGTTACAAAAAAGGAAGGTTTATTTTAGGGTAGTTGCATGACTCCTTGTTTTTAGCTGGTGTGTATTATTTGAACCTAGCTTTTAGAAGGAAAAGTTACTGCAGAGGGTTTGGCAGGAAATAGCAGAAATAGGGAAAAAAATTGGTAAGTCTAAGGGCTGAAAGCTGCAAATGAATTCCAGAAAAGAGGTCTGAGCAGTAGATAAAAGGGCTACAGAATCAAGATGGTAGTAGATAACTGTCTACTGCTCCATTAGGCATTTGATTCAAAGCAGAGGCACAGTTTTGAAGAGAGTGTCCCCACTTACTGCAGAATGATTTTGCTGTGCATGAGCTGGATATCTTTGGAGGAAACTAAACCAGAACCTCTGGTCCAGGTGTGCACCAAATGTGCTTCTGGCCCCAAGGAGCACATAAGGATCAATTACTCGGTTTGACTCTCCTAACAGCTTCAAAGCATGTTTGGTTCAGGAGACCTGGCTAGACACAGTCTGAAGCAAAATTCCTGAACTGGATACGGTATAGATGGGAAGGCTCAGCACAGGCTACTTTCATCTGTTGTTCTGGTCTTGCTGTGCCAAATTACTTGCTATAGTGGCTGTGACCACTGATAGCTAAAGAATTTTAGATTAGTGTTTTGGCAGTTTGTCTTTTGGTAGGATTAGAAGTGGTTTCTGGATCTTTTCAGAACTAGACTTGTGAATGCTATAGCTATCAAAAATGGTTTCAGGTCAAGGAAACACTTTATAGCGACTTGCAGATGGAGTCAGCGTAGGGAATACCTTCACACAGTATAACTTTAAGGAAGGGCTGTTTTCCATAGTACTTGCTCTGTTCTTTTTAAAAAAAAATTATGTTCTCCACTTAAGGAATTGACCAACTAGAAATCTCAGTATAACAGCAGATGAAGTATTTAGATGAACTTCAAGAGATTTCAGTTTGTACTTGCTAGGGAGTTTAAGATGACCTTTCTTAGCTTTGGATCAAGAGTCTTAAGGTGTATAAAAGATAGAAATTCTGGGCGGAAACTTATATTAATAGTGTTTGGAGTGCTTAAATCAACAATGTCTTTCATATTCTTTCATTTGGAAAAGCATGAAACTTAACTAAAGCAATTTGTACATCCCATCCCCCAGTTGAAATTAAATTTCACAGAAGTGAAACGAGAAAGTATCTTAATTTCATCCTTCTGTTAGAGCTGTGAGTGCTCACAAAATCAGTGGTGTTAGTTATCTGTCAATATCACATTGTATTGTTCATCTTTTAATTATAAAAGTTTTAGTTTATAGTTGCAGCTTGAAACTTTTTGATCAGTTTAAATTATGCAAGAATCATTGATTTTTAAGTTCATTATACTTTAATCCCACTTGCCAGAGAATATTTCATGCTTTTTGCTTATGAATGAATCCTTTGACTCTTGTGTATACTATGCTGCTATACCTGCCAAATATTATAGGCATTATAAAATAGCAGTTATATAAAGGTTGACATTCCATAATAAGAAAATAAAATCTAGTTTCTTGAGAAGGACTTGTGGCATCTGACTTGTATAAAGCAACACTTCAGAAAACTGAATGGGGGAGCTGTAAGTAATTTTTCCATAGGATGTTGGGACATACATAGAAACTATGTTAGAAATTAATTGATACAAGGTTATTCATTAGTTCTTGTTTCAAAAAATACAACCCAAACACAACTATCTACTAGAAATAAATTTTAAAAATAGTTGTAAAATATTTGTTAGAATGCATAAAGAAATTAATCAGAATTAAACTAAACAGACTCCTGTTAGAATTAAGTAGTTTAAATTAAACGCTGAACAGCTAAACAAGCCAGACTTCAAAAAGGAGGAAAATTACATTCCATTCTTCTCCGTTTAGCTACTTTGGGCTTTTTAGAGAATGCCAGGGGCTTTAGTCTTACCAAAGAACTTTTGCATAAATCAGTGGCTTTGAAGAAAAATAGCTTAAACAAAATAATGGCATGATATTACTTATTAGTCAGGATCAGTGGTCAGTTTTTGCCACGTAACATGTAAGCCAAGGAAACATGGTCTTTGACTAGAGAAAGGATTGAGACCACATGTGAGCTTGTCCCTGTGAACAGAACTGCAAAATCAGTATCTAATTTAAGGCAGATTGATACAATCACCAGCACATATCTGTACTGGCATGTCAGTGCCTTTTTCTTTCTTCTTTTCAAACCAGCAGAACTCAACCTGGTTCTTTAGACTTTCTTCAGCAATATGAGAACAAAACCCAACTGGTAATCCAAAACCACCCGAGTGAAAGTTCTTATAGCATGGGAGATCTAAGAAAGCAAGAGGAATAAAAAAAATGTCTTAAAGTTCTCATTATTATGCTAGGACAGAAATAGCCTAGCTCAGAATCTAGAAAATTTCTTCTCTAGCCACCTGCCAAAACACACGGTTCTCCTTTTCTCATAAACTAAGCCAGCTACAGGGTAAACTGAATGTCTGAATATCCTTTACAGCAACATTTAAGGCTCTGACTCCTGGAGTCACTGGCTTGAGAACATAATTTAATTTCTTCAGAGGTTTCATAGTTATGAAGAAAAGTTCGAAATGTTCTTTGAGTGCATGACAGCTAGAATAGCACATAATTTGAAATGCTAGCTGTAAGAAGGATAAACTTCGTGGTTCTTCCCTGTCTTCTAGGGTGTATTTGCCTGGGTCTAATGTTTTTGTTGAGTACCCCAATGTTAGTTTCAGTCTTTCTTTTTTTGTGGGTCATACAGGCAGACAGGTCATGGGCAAGATCCATGAGGAATAAAACTAATAATAATTAAAAAGCCCCCCTGAAATAAAATTAGAACTAAAATGGTTTTCTATAATCTTAATTCTGGTTTCTATTAATAAAATTAATGTAGAAGTCTGTCTTTGTAGACAAGAATGAGTATGTTGTATAGGGTGAAGTTCTTTGTTAACTAGTGAAAATACACATTCTTTAGGAGAAGATTTAAAGAATATGGGCACAGAATGGAAAACTCCAGCTTTTAGACCTTTAAAAACCCACACTAAAACAACAAGGTAAAAAACCAAACCCACCTGTGGCTTGAAGTTTACATGTGCCTGACTACTTCTGTCTAGAAACACCGTGGACTGTTATGGGAAAGGAAGTAATGTCCTGAGAACCTGTGCTTGGTGGGATTGTGCCTACCTGAGAAACATACGGCAGCCTAAGAAGTGTCTTCCGTGTGCTTGGTGTTTGCCTCTGCATGCCGAGGGAACTGGGAGTACCAGTGCTACAGTATGGTGAGAGGGACAGGAGGAGGATCCTGTGTTTCGGGACTGTCTGGCTCTAAATACTTGCACTTGCTCCTTTGCAAGCTTCATCTGACCTCTTAGTAATGTACTTGTAAGTCTTTAAGATCACTTTTCCTCATTTTGTGTAAAGGACCGTTTAGGCACGCTGCTGTAGATTAATGCATTTTAATGAAGAGAGCAGTTGTTCAAGGAAGAACCGTGTCAAGATGTACCTTGTGTGAGAACTTAGATTGTATAATGTGGCTGACACCTCCTGGAAATTTGGCAGCATGGGACTGAAACAATTGTTTTCCTTCCCTTGTTTGTTAGCAAGGATTTCTTGAATGAGCAACACTTACTGTGGTTGCAGCGGAAGGGTGGAACTGCTTGGTCTT